TACCTTCTTCTGCGTTCTCCAGCGATGCATCCCGATGTTTGCGACAATAAACGCTATAATCACAAACAAACACAAAATTATTCAAACCCTTAAACCTTTGATATGCCATATTTCTATTTATAGCTCCTAAAATAGCTCACAGGTAAATTCCTTGTGATGGATTCTCTTTAGTTTGAGCCTTGTCCTTCAGCGCGCAGTAATAATGGTATGTTCTGCGACAGGTTTTTACGTCACAGCCAATAGTAGCTCCAGGCCGGTGACAAGAGGAGCACATCTGAGAGAAAAGGTTACAAAATTGTTATAATACAGTTGCAAAATGTCTTATTTCAGCACATTTTATCTGCAATTCTGAATAAATATGATACAAAGGTGTTTCTGATATTCACTCTTGCTGAAGATTGGTAAGAACATGTGCTTCACTGGGTCAAAAATTGTGTACAAGACTATAAAAACATCAGGCACTATTCAAGGATGTGAACATTAACTTAAATGTCTCTGAACACTCACCAGTTTATTCCCACGTTTGATTTCCTTCTTCACGTCATTGATGGAAAAGCCTCCGATGTTCTCACTGTCTGAAGGGGACGACACCAGGGCCGAGGAGAACAGCTGCACAGAAAAATCAAAAGAAGTTTCATTTTAAAATTTGAATAAATACACTCAAAAATATAGTCCTCTGTTTATTTTCCCTGTCCATGATCAAATGAAACCAGTATAGTTAATGTGAACAGCAAATCTGCTTTCAATGGGAACTTTTCTTCCTTTTGTTTACTGCACTGCCACTGGTGCTCGAGTAGGTTTCTCTCCCAAACATGGAATTTCAAAAGTAGGTTTTCTGTTGGGAAGCTTAAATATTACATGATTTAATTTCATAATTGCTCCTATTTTATTATCAAGACTTGAAAGGGAGAATTATGTAAACATAGAGGATGAATGAATAAAAAATACAGTATGTATTTTGAGGCTTAATTTTTTTCTGTTGTGAGCAATTTTGTATAATTATTCAAATAAATATTCAAAGAAAATGCATCTTATGGTTTATAGAACAAGCATCTCTAAAAAGCACCTTTAAAATTCAAATTTAAGTCTCTGAATTCAAGTCCTATTATTGACAATAGCGCCGTGCTCACCATACACTTGTGATGTGCTGCCACCTTCTGGCCGTCGGACAGAAGCAGCTGGCCGCACTCTTTGTCCCGGTTGGTTCTGCAGAAAGCGCATTTGGGGAGACGGGGCGACGCGCCTTTCCTCTGTCCCGACATGACCACAGCTTCTTTCGATTTCTATACGACAGAACGTACACGAATAGAGAGAATAAATTCATTTAGACATCCAAATGAAACATATTGCAGAAATCTGTATGCAATATGAATAACCAAGTAGGAATGCAGAGCAATAATGCATAATGGTATTGATTATTTGAGCTCAACTTCTGCTTTGCTTCCCAATTTCAGAAGGTGTTATTATGTTACTTAAATGGGACAAGAGTGAATAAATATCTTGTAATTTTAAAATATATTCACCTTCTTGTTAACTGTTAATCCAATGTGTTTTTCAAGATGTGTTTATCTTTTAAATGGAAGAGTACCTAGCCTTACACAACAGATGATATGAATAACATAGTAGGGTAGTGACAAAATGTCAGTCACCCACTGTTTATCTGATCTTTATATTGGCATCTAGTTAGTTGTAATTTAAGTGATAATTTAATACAATTCCAAATCTAAATAATAAAAGCAGCAAGAACCTAGAGATTCCTATTCCAAATGGTACATCATGGGACTACATCATGCTGCATTTTTTCTTATATACAAACATAGGGCCATGATTATGACATGTACACGAGTAAAATCTATTAAACTGAAAAACTTATACTCAACTTGACACAATAAATCATAATAATTAAAAAAACATAACACAATTGAACAACTACACCCTGTTTGGTGCATCTACATTGTTTCAATTTTTTGGGAATTTGCCAAGAATAATATTAATGTGTAATTAATGTAATCAAATTACAACATGTATTTTCACTGTAGATGTTAATCTTCTGATTTACAATTGGCCATTCATTTTAAAAGCAACAATGATGTAGTGAATAGGCCTATCAAGTCTCCTCTTATATTGACTGAGTGACTAAAGCTACATATTTACAATGTACAGTTAGAACACAAAGTTATCATCTTAAAACAAGATATGAAGAACATAGATTAAAACTAATTCAGAATGGTTAGGCTACTCCATTGTACTAAAAATAGCCCATCTATCTCCACAGCCAAACCCAACACAATACACTGAGTTGTAAAATACATGTTTAAATCAAAATCTTATCCCACAGCACAATGGAACAGTCCCTTGTGACCAGTTTTCCTGAAAATGATGCAACATGTTTCCAACCCAGCAAACAGCCTGTTCTGGCCCTACTTCAAAACCTCCACTATCCCAACTTTCAGTCTCTTTTTGGGATTATCTTACACAGAAAATGCACCAGAAGAGACTGTAATGACTGTTTTATAAGACATACCAGGAGCACACAGCTTACTGCTCTACTTTGTATCACAAGATGTCCCCACTCCCCTTTAAGGCACGCTTTTAATTAAATATTATCTTGGTAATATGTCATATATGTTCTATAATATCTAAAATTTTATCTGTGGAAAGGAGTAGCTAAAACCTTGCTATGTACTGCCAATTCATGTTAAGAATGTGGTGTTTATAATAGGATATAATTTTAAAATAAGGTATGGAAATGCATATTAAGTGTTTAAAATGCAGGAAATGCATATGATTCTTGTTTAAATCCACAATAGATTTTAACTGCGACGTATTCATTGAGCCATTTCTGCCATTACGATCGCAGGGCCAGGCTTTCACTGCGGCGCCTTCACAAGAGCACAATCTCCCCACAAATCCTTACCCACTCCACAAATAAACATAACATTTTCATTATTTTATCTTGTATTACCTCTTCCTGCAAATGTTTTAAGTAATATTTGACTCCTAGGTGGTGTAATCGTGGCTGGAAACCCCCTACACAACCCGAAAGATAAAGTGCATTTCTCCTCCAAAGTTTTGAATTAAAGGGGGTGTGTTACTCTAGTTTCCCCACGCTATAACTAAAAACATCTTTTACTACGAACAGTAAAAGTGCTTGAAAATTTCCGTAAGGCCTTTAAACGTGGCTAAACAAACGTCACCGATGTAAAAATAAAAGTGTACGGTGTGGATTTTGCGATTTAAGTTCATAAAATGTGATTATTTCTCTTTAAATGTGTAAATTGTCATGACAGGCGCGGGTTTTTGGAGTAAAGAGCGCCATACGTGATGTTTCCCCTGCGAAGAGACAGAACAACGCGAGCAAATACGGCCTAAAACGACAACAGGGATACAAAACACGCCTAGGATCTCACAAATAAAGATCATCCAGTCATAATTTACCTGATATAAAGACGGATTTGTAGTTGAATAAGTAGATTTGATGGGAAAGTACCCAAGAGCTTGGCTATGTTTCTTTCCGTCCTTCAGAAGTGATCGTGTGTGGATTTTTGGCCAAGCGCTAAAGCTAACAACAATGCTACACGAACCGGAAACTCGAAGAGAAGACTTCCGGTTATGACTATCATAATAAATGAGCTCTTGAATAAACATTGATACGTTTGTTTAAATGTGAAAGATAAAAGGTGTCTTTGAAGAAGAGGAACTAAAGAAATTGACAAAGTAAAAACATGACAATAGCTCATTTATTATAAAAGCGAGATCATGCTAAAATCAGCATGCACACAGCACTGGAAGAGGTCAAAATACCAACTCAATCTAGAGTCTAATTCACTATCATGCAATGTGTTGTAGACTATGGTCATATATACAAATAACTGCATTATTCTCTATTGCATACTTACTATACCACAAATAAGAACATTGCACTAATACGGTTTATAACAATGAAGTAAATAAACAAGCAATGCTGTGAATGTCAACTGAGCAATACATGTGGTTAAATTAAGCAATACTGTGCATACTATATTATATAATGTAGACAAATCTACATAAAATGATTTGTATAAACTAATTTCTTTGCAACGAATGTGCATTTATAAAGCAACATTATCTTCTGTCTGTTTCAAAGGAACTAAGCCAGTTAGTGCTTAAAATTAATGTCCTAAATGTCAAAAGTCTAATAATTTTATTTCACAGTTCTGCATTTCTGCAAGTATTAAATATAAACATATATGAGTTAGTGGTCTGTAGTTGAAAAGTCTGTATAAGTTATCTCAAACCAAAAGCTGACAATACAAACGATAAACATTGGAGAATCTTTTTGTTTATAAGGTAAATAAATTCAAATTATTATTTACAATGCCAACCAAATTAATGACATGGAAGGTTCCATTTGGATCATGGATAGGCCTACAGTGAAACCATGAACCAACCATGTTTAGGAGCACAAATTATACGCAATATGTTGATTAGTGGAGCTATTTGAAGGAAATTTGTATTTGTAATGTATTTATACAATTAGGCTTTACTAATGACTGAAAGGCATTCGTGAGTCTTACCATACCATTTTTGTGTTTTTTGGAAATTGGATATATCCATGAACATTAACAGTTACACAGTACTTCAGTTCAGTTGGCCAATTAATAGATAATAATGATTAATAGATTAATAGATAGGGTTAATAGAAAAATAATGATTTAATTTGTTGCATGCCTACTTGAGTAATATTGAAAGTATAATAGTAAACTTATCTGTTGCCTATTTAAGAGGAATTTTCGCTCATGTTTTTTATCATTTAAATGGAAATTGCATCACTTTAGTTTCGGTAAAAAAAAAAAAAAAAAAAAGTTACCAAAAAAAACAAACTACTAACCAATCCACCCAAAACGAAACGAACCCGAGCCGCCTAGAAGGTGTGGCTACGTGGGTCTTTTCTTGATTCCGATTGGCCCAGAGCTCTGTCAGTCATTGTGCGGAGCAAAAACAGACCCGCCCCTTGTCCCTGGGATGATCAGAGGACAGACCGTAGTTTCTGCACTGGGAACAGGGAAATAAGTTGTCAGACAGGCTCTCACTTCACATCCAGGCTGCCAGCAAGTTAGGTGACAGTCGGGCAAGAGTTCAGACCTCAACCTACATGGGAAATTAAAGTTATGAAGGTCGCTAGTTCGTGTAAATAGTCGCTACGGTTAGTTAGTTAGTTACGGCGTTAGATCTAGGCTACTACTAGTGTTCAGATATCAGATAAAACTTGGACCAAAACGGGGCGAAAAGAAAGTGGATAAACTCGATAACCAAGGTTTAGCCACAGCCTGCTTCTAGCCTTCAACCCCTATTTCAGTCGGTAAGTGTGATTGCTAACAACATTTTCATCACTTTTTACAGCCACTTTTGCGCTACGTTGTTGTGGTTACTGATGCGGCTAATGCTAACTAGGTCACAAGCTAGTTAAAACTTACTAAAATGTTGCTGCTAATGCTACTTTTACGTCCTTTTTGGTTCCATTTGACATTTAAGTCAACAGAGAAGTTGGTGGATTGTTCTGCTTAGCTACACGAACACTATAATAACATTGCAAAAGCAGCATGCAATTGTAAAGTTTGTGCAGAATCGTTCAGTACGGAAAAAAGTATCTAGTTAGCAGTCGTTGATAACTAGCTAGGGATGTTGTTATTGCTTTTAGGACTGGAACTCAATACATGCAGTCAGCTGAACTAATTGGTCTTTTTTGTAGGACAGCGTTTAAAAAGTCATTTCCTGGTGCACACAACTACAGGAAGTTGGTTGTTTAATTCATTTGTCCTGTTTTGTTTCATCAACGCTGATTTGTTTCATCTCAGGGCTTGGGTTACCTGTCTTCCTCGCCATGCCTTTCCCTTTTGGCAAATCTCAGAAAAGTCCAGCTGAAACCGTGAGGACTTTAAAGGACAATGTTGCCCACTTAGAAAAGCTGGACAGTGGAGACTCAAAAAAGTCTGAAAAGGTAAGTTATGTTCTGATATAGTATGGTTATTACACAGGTAAAAGCTTGCAGAATTGTAAACTGTATCTGTTTTTTAAGGTTGTAGAGGATATTTCGAAAAACCTTGCCTCACTAAAAGAGGTGCTCTGTGGAACTGGCGACAAGGAGCCCCAAACTGAAGCCGTAGCCCAACTTGCCCAGGAATTATACAACACCAATCTACTCATATCTCTCATTGAAAACCTCCATAGGATTGATTTTGAGGTAAGTACAGAGGCACTTTCTTTGTTGCATTGTGTAAAAATTATTGATCATTCTGGGCTGACACTGATGGCGAGATTGAATGGAAGCCCCTAAAGCAAAACTGTCTGTGCGTGTGCTTTGAAAGTTGGTTAGTAAAGCTCTTTTCTGTTACAGGGGAAGAAGGATGTGGTACATTTGTTCAGTAACATTGTAAGACGGCAGATTGGCACCCGCACACCCACGATAGAATACATCTCTTCACATACACAGATCCTGTTCATGCTTTTAAATGGGTAAGTTCACGTTTTACACTGCTAGTTTGTACTTCTATGTAAACACTGGTATTGCTGGTTGATACTAAGGAATAGATTTGATTCTTTGATTTGATTGACATTATTTAGACAATATACAGTCACGTTATTCTTAACATTAAATAATAGTACTTTCTTTTATATTACCATGAGGACGTACATCTGTTGTATCTCATTGTTGTTCATGGGCGTATACTAATCTGTGTGTACTGGTTCTGATACAGCTCAAGATCATTCTAAAGCTATTCAGGAAAGGTTAATTTCTGTCCTGTGAATGTGACTTTTTTAGTATCGATACTTTCAAATGAGTATCTTGTTCGTATTGATTAGTATTAGTATTAGTATTTTTGATATTTTTGACAACCCTAGTTATACAAATGCATTTTTCCTCTCTGGTATAATCACTTTAGCTTGGAGTGCTTTTTGCCATAGCCCAGAATGTGTTTCAACAACTCTCTTTGGAGCGAGCGGGGACATGTTGCATTTACCTGTGGGTTACGATGACAAGAGATAGTTGTTTTGTGTGAGCGAATCAAAGTCATTCCAATCTGCTTAAATGAAATTCCCATTTGAAAACCAGATCAAAAGCCTTAGTCAGCCTGTCCTTAAATGTTTATATAATTATTGCTACGCATTTAATTCCCAAGGATTTTTCATATGACATGATTCATTGATAAGGATTTAGTGCAAAACCTGATTGGCCACACCTCAGTGTAGTAGCATGCACATACAGAACATATTGCTCAAATTCTAGCTAAAACTGGACTTAAAAATGCATGCTAGAATGAACTGTGGGAGCACAATCTAACTGCTGAGTTGAGCTAAGCATGCTCCAGAGTTGCACATATGTAAACAAAGGCAAGTTAAGAGACCTATTAGAGGTTTTAGACAGTCAGAGATGCACATAAATTATTCAGCTGCTGACTGGTGATTTTGTTGGTTGAGCTCTTGATGAGGGCTGCAAGGTTAATCAAATCAAAATCTCAATTTGAAGGATGCAGTTTTAAAGAACCATTATTTACTCTGCTAACAACAAAATGTTGTCTTATTCAGGATGAACTGTTAACTCTGTCATTTAATTCATATTTAAAATGACAGGTTCTGATGATCCTCTAATTTTGACTTGGTGGGATCATACCTTTACCTTGTAAATATACAGTAAATTATAGTTTTACACATCACAGCAATTTGTGAAGAAAAGTTGAAAAATATGTTGAAAACAGATTACAGGAAGTAGAGTGCTCTATATTGATGAGATTACACTTGGGAGAATTCTGTCCAAATGTACTGTATCCTATTATTGTTATTCTTAAAACATAAATTGCAAATCTAACAGCAAGATAATGCATGTCAGAAAAACCACAAGTAGATATTTTTTTTCCAAATATAAAGCCCTACTCTTGAAAACATGACATAACGTACTGCAGAATAGTTTTGTTTATGTTATCATGCATTACCGTAATTAGATCAAGAGGTGTAGTTTAAAGCTTTTCTGACTTCACTTCCCATGCATATGTTACAAAAGACAATGACATTATAATATCCTTCTTTTTTAACAAATGCTCACAGTTATTGAGTAAACAAACCTAAGATGAGCTCTGTTGAACTTTTGAGTTATGACCACAGTCACACAAACGTGTTTGTCCACAAATTCTCCATTCTAGTGTATATTGTATTACCACTGAGTTTTTGACTATTGAGGACTCTGTCCAGTGTAATGTGAACATTTGTTTTGAAATGTCAAATGAAAAAGCCCAGTTCTTTATCATGATCCATACAATACAGTATAAGTGTCAGGTTACAGAAAGGGATTATAGGTCACATTTTGTTAACACATCAAGTTCTGCTTTGATATTATGATATGATGATATTATTATATGATATTATTGATGTCACGTGGAATAGGGTAACGTATTTAAAATTAATTTTGTTCTTGCAAAACAAATGAGTTTTATGTGTCGTAGTGTCTAGCTCAATTTTGATACTAAAGAATAGACCTGATACTTAGGACCGATTTCAATACCATGGTGATTGATAATAAGAGACTCTTTATTTAGACAATATAATGTGATTTGTAACATTAAATAATAGTGCTTTCTTTTATATTACCATAGCCTTATATCTGTTTAATCCCCCAGTGGTCCAGGTAGGTTCCATAGTGGCCCATGGGCATATACTAGTCTGTGGGCTCTTATACTTGTTCTGATACAGCTCAAGATCATTCTAAAGTTATTCGGGCAAGGTTAATTTCTGTCCTGTAAATGTGACTTTTTTAATATCAAAATCTGCCCAAATGAGTGTGCAGTCTGATGCTAGTTTTAGTATTGATTTGTATCTGAGTTTCAATACTTTTGACAACCCTAATGTGTATTCACTTGTATATTTTTATATTAATAACAGTTAATTGTGCTTTTTGGTTTGGTTTATCAGCTACGACAGTCCAGAGGTGGCCCTGAACTGCGGGATGATGCTGAGGGAGTGTCTGCGTCATGAACCTTTGGCCAAAACTGTGCTTCTGTCCGAGGAGTTTTATAACTTCTTCAGATACGTCGAACTCTCCACCTTCGACATTGCATCAGATGCTTTCGCCTCCTTTAAGGTACACAAACACTGACTTTGTTCACATGCAACCCTAAATCTAATTATTATGATTCATCGATCTTTAAGATTATTTAAATGACATGTGAACTACAAAATCTGATGTGATTAATCAGAGGCCTCAAGTTCTGGTGGAAATTTGATGATTTTGCCCTTTACATGGATTTTAATAGTCTTATAATTCAAATAATCTGATAATCATTTTATTTTCAGTGCACATATAACTCATCCATTGACTATCACACAATTAAAGATCACATATTGTGTTTAAGTCTGCTATATAGTTAAAATGTGCAACACCTGTGGAACATTATGTTATTATTTACACATTTTAAATTGCAATAGTCATCTAAAACAACTTAATTAAAGAAAGTAGTAATGGTAATAATCGTATAATAAACTACCGCTTTAGAAAGATGTAGAACCCAATGGGAGCTGACATTGCGGTAAATATCACCACGAACAAAGTCGGAGTTATGGATTTCTTGGGGAGGTGTGTAAATGGCTCATATCACACACACCACAGAAAGCTGCCAAAAAAACCCAAAAAACAAAATAACTACAGTACGCTACACTGCTGAATGATACACATATCACTGATTAAAAAAGTAAATTTTCTTTGCAATATGACATCTTGAAAATAAGTGATTAAAGATTACTCAAACCAGCGTGAATCACTGCAAATACAACTTCCAGAGGGTAAACAAAAAGGAGGAACAGCTATAACATGACTAAAAGCTATGAAAAATCAATTTTGTATTATAGGTGTCCTTTAAAGAAAGTCTTCTTCTTGTGCATTTTCAGCAGGCTGGGTGCCTCCAGACATATTGCTGCTTTCACAGGTTGCTTTTGGTACTGCAGTAGATTAAAGGCAGTCCATAAATGTTCAATATTTCATTCAGGGGCGGAGCTTCATGTTTTATTTTTTCCATTTTTAATTTTTTTTTTTTTTTTTTTCCAAATTTTTATTTACCTTGAATCCCCACAATTAAATGTATGCTTTGGTATATGACCTACTTGTTATTATTATACTTCTTATTTTCATTTGCATTTGAATAATATTCTTTGAAAGGTCCTGTAAATTTATTTATTTTTTTACCTGCTATCTTGTCTCTAAATGTGGTTCTTTTGTTACCACAGGATCTCCTCACAAGACACAAAATCATGTGTGCAGATTTCCTGGAGAACAACTATGACAGGGTAGGTCCTGTAACTTTGTTTTTAATGTAACGTAATATTCCTCTAGAGTTTCTTATTTTTTAACATGAATGATAATAAACAACAAACTTCCCCAACCACTATTTTCAAACATCAATTATTTCACAATAATTTAAACTTTTGAAGTTGTTCTATATAAATAACTCCTCTGATTGAGAGTCCACCACTTGCTTGTTTCCATGAAGAACGGTTTTCCTATATCGAATGTTCCACAGCATGGCAGCCCACTCAGAGAACGAATGCATGTTTTAATTCATTTGCTTTAACAAGTGCTATAACAGCACTTGCAATTGAACAAAAAATATAAGATGGATAAGTCTAATGCTATACTGTGGAGTTTTGAGGAAATACAGTCGTGGACAAAATTGTTGGTACCCCTCCGGCAGTGAAAGAAAAGTCTACAATCATCACTGAAATAACCTGAAACTGAGAAAAGCAATAATAAATAAAAAAATACTGAAAATTGCCTCATGAAAATCAAACATAGCTTTTTACCTGTGGTTAAACAAAATTATAAAAAAAAAACAAATAATGAAACTGGCCTGGACAAAAATGATGGTAACCTTAACGTAATATTTTGTTGCACAAGTTTTGAGGCAAACTGCAAGCAAACGGTTTCTGTAATTATCAATGACACTGTGCTGGTCAACTGGTATTCTGGCCAACTTCTCATGAGCAAACTGCTCTAATTGTCTCAGGTTTGAAGGGTTCCTTCTCCAGACAGCATGTTTCAACTCATTTCACAGATGTTCAATAAAACTGAGATCTGGGCTCACAGAAGAACACTTCAGAACAGTCCAATGTTTTGTTGTTAGCCATTGTTGGGTGTATTTCGCTGTGTGTTTTTGGTCATTATCCTGTTGGAAGTCCCATGGCCTATGACTGAGACCAACTTTCTGACAGTAGTCAGCACATTTCATTCCAAAATACCTTGACAGTTTTGAGATTTTGTTGTACTTTGCAAAGATTTCAAGACACCCTGTGCCAGATGCAGCAACAGCCCCAGAACATGACCAAGCCTCCTCTGTGCTTCACAGCAGGGACAATGTTCTTTTCTTTGTGTGATTCATTTTTGCATCTGTGAACATGGAGCTGATGTGTCTTGCTAAAGAGCTCTAGTTTTGCCTCATCTGTCCAAAGGACATTCTCCCAGAAGCTTTGTGGCTTGTCAATATGCATCATGGCATATTCCAGTATCACTTTTTATGATTTGCTCTCAACAGTGGTGTCCTCACATGAAATCCACTTTGGCTCAAACAGTGATGGTGCGATCTGACACTGATATACCTTGCCCTTCAAGTTCACATTTAATTTGTTTGGAGGTTGTTCTGGGCTCTTTGGTTCCATTTGTATGATCCATCTCTTCAATTTGTCATAAATTTTCCTCCTGCAGCCAGGACCAGGGAGGTTGGCTACAGTCCTGTGGACCTTAAACTTCTGAATAACATGTGTAACTGTAATCACAGGAACATCAAACTGCTTGGAGATGGTCTTATTGTCTTTATCTTTAACCTGCTTGCCTATCATTTTCTTACTAGTCTGCTGACACAGTTCTCTTCTTCTCTTTCTCTGGTTCATGTTCAGTGTTGTCTCCATCATGTCTCCAAACAGAACAATGACACATGTCTCCCTTTAAACAGGCAGAGTGACTGAGGACAAGTTTGAAGACACCTGTGATGCAGATTAGAGACACACCTAAGTTTAACATGTCCCTATTGTTCAGTTACTTACAATCTTTTCTAGGGGTACCATCATTTTTGTCCAGGCCAGTTTCATTATTTATTTATTTTTTTAATAATTCTGTTGAACAACAATTCAAAAACAGTGTCTGATTTTCATTGTTTATTTTTCTGGATTTTTTTCTTTATTACTGTTTTTCTTAGTTTCAAGTTATTTCAGTGAAAATGTTTGATTTTTCTTTCATTACCAGAGGGGTACCAACAATTTTGTCCACGTCTGTAGCATCTCCATGGAGACAAGCAGGTGGCGGACCATCTACAGAAAAGTTACACTGTGAACTGTCAGGACGATTGTTTGGTATTGCCCCAAAATATCTCCATGAATCACTTGGAGAACTGCAGCAAAGTTATAAATTGGATCTTGGGGTCAGACAGTCTCCAGAACTATAAAACATTTTTTTTTATATCCAAGGCTAATTTTGTTGAAGTGTATTGAATCTTACATCTGTGTAACTATCATAGACAAAACCTGATGGATGACCCAATGGGCAAAGGTTAATAGAAAATATGTTGTCTGTTCTAGAAAAGACAGAAATGTGTGTTTGCTTTAGAACATTCAGTTGTAGTAGAAATTGGAAATTAATGTCTAAAAACAAACTTTAATGGCACATCCACCGTCTTTGCTATCACAGTGCAAAAATAGTCCATAGAGATGCATTATAAGCCATTATTAACCGAAAGAATATAAAAAATAAAACAGAAATTAATTAGCCAACAAGCTGCTAAACTGCTGGGCCACTACTGGTACATTTATCATTCTGCTCTGTCAACATCTTAAACATCTTAAAAACTCCACTGGTTTAACATTAAGATAACTTTAACATTGTGGTTTGACGATACAACCCCGATCTCTATTCACAGTTTAGTAACAATCAATACAATGCATACATCATTAATGCATAAAACCAGACCTGTATTAAACTCACATATAAACAGCTTTTTTCAATCTAATTATCTGCCATTGTAACCTTGTGTGTTTCTTTCTCAGGTGTTTACAGAGTACGAAAAGCTCCTCCATTCAGACAACTACGTGACCAAACGCCAGTCTTTAAAGGTATTCAGTTTGATTTATAGAAAATATGCGTACAAAAAGTAACAATAAGGAGCAATAAACTGTTCATTTCTGTCCTGTATTATGCAAAATTGACTTTTGTGAGCTTTAAGCAATGTTACAATGTTGTTACCTCCTCAAAAACAAAGCTGAACTTGTATTTTGTTTCACTTGCACATGTTTGCATAATTCTTTATTAGTCTGTCTATATCCCCAAAGCTCAAAATGCTTTGTTCCACCTTGTGATGTCATGAATCTGTAGTTTTCAAATTAACAGCTACCTTTTACGTTTGGTTTCAGTAATGATTCAAATGATTCTAGTGAAGGCGTATGGGGTTTAAAAACACAGTGGAGCACTTCCTGTTTTATCACATGACATCACAAGATGAAACAGTGTGGAGTGTTTTCAGTGTGAGAGAAGAACTAAGCCTTAATATCCAGGCTTTGTGTGTTAAATGTGTAAATGAAACAAAACACAACTCCAGGTATGTTTGTGACAGGAAAACAAAATTATGACATAGATCAGAAAATGACATAATATAGGCCCTTTAATGCTCTGTTCCCTGGTTGGCTGCATGTCTTTAATGAAAAGAATAAAAGTCATTCTGATTCTAAACCTAAATAAATAAATAAATCGCCCAGCCCTTGCTATTATGTACCAAACCTGCTAACCCTGTATTAGTTAAACCGTTAATGTTCCCTTAAGAACAGATGCCATTATAGTTCATTACCTCTTCCAGACTGCATTATTATTATCACATTCAATCCATAGACTGCATAGATGAATGGACATAGCCACCCCGACGGCTATGTCCATTTATATATGTAGTCTATGCATTGAGGTCGAGTCCAAATAGGAAGTGACCATGGGGGTGCTTTGGGCTCCATTGACTCTGGCTCCAATTCACTTTAAACTGAGATTGCCACCCCTCTCTTTTATTTCACTAATTTGTCCGCAAATAAATTTCCATAAATTCCTAATACGTAAGTGGCTCCAAATTAGGTTTAAACAAACTTGACCCACAGGGGAAATTACTTGGACACAGTAGCTCACACATCACAAGAGAGAGACTGGTGTCAAATAATTATATAAATGTACAAGTAAATAGAAATAAAGTATAAGATAATATTGTATATATCTCAGCTATATACAAGAGGTCATAAGGAGAAACAGCGTAAAGATGATATGATGATTGAAATTAATTCTATAACTGCTAGAGCTTCATTTGGCTGGGGCCAAAGGCTATAGGTGACATCACACTCCCTTAGTCCAGTTCTTTATGCAGTCTGTGGTAGAATTCTTTGTTATTTTGTGTTTTGTAGCTTCTCGGGGAACTCCTCCTCGACAGACACAACTTCACTGTGATGACGAAGTACATCAGCCGAGCAGAAAACCTGAAGCTCATGATGAACCTGCTCCGAGACAACAGCCGAAACATCCAGTTTGAAGCATTCCACGTTTTTAAGGTTATACACGCTTTTATATAGACACTGTTGGAAATATGGTCGCAACAACTGAAGGTGCACTGCATAACATTTCTAGTGGAGTGTCTATCACCTGCTTGTCTCCATGGAGATGTTGCTTTGTCTAGAATGTTCCACAGTATATATTACACCTATCTATTACTAGAGGGACAAGCAGGTTACAGCATTATGCTACATTACAATTCAGATCTGTGGAGAGTCAGCCCTATTCACAGGAAGGAATTACTGTATTTTCGAGCAATAGAAACATCCGTAATGAATAAATTCTAGATGGATATGTTTACTGTCATACCATGGAAAGTTCCAGGCATGGCAATAACATCTCCATAGAGACAAGCAGGTATTGGACCCGTCACCAGAAAAATTGAGCAGTACACCTCTATTAGAACTGTTGTTCAGATGTCTTTTAGGCTGGGTAAACCCCAGAACTAAACCTGGACGAGACTAGGACAAAACTAGTTCTAGAACTGGAGTTAAAGTTTATTATATATATTATACTAAAGTTTATTTTTTTATTCACAGCAACATTTTAAGCTCTGGTACCACTGTTTTTGTGGTTTCACTATTGTGGAGATGGTAGCTTGTGTGGCAAATCCGAGATAGGCCAATAGTGGCGGACCACGCAGTTGTCATCAGGGTAAATAAGAAAAAGAAAAATGACATTAAGAAACTGCAAAATCATTGAACCTTCTGAAAGTTTTAATGTTATGTCCCTATCTGCGAGACTTGTGATACAAATAAGCAGCTCTTCACTAGCTAGGACCACGCCAACAACGACATAGTGCAAAGAAGTTTATTGATAATGTACGAAGCGAGGCAGAGATGGCTGGGTTGAGACTATGGGTGGGGGCTCCGTCTCAATCTACAATTGGCCCAGCCGGAACGGGACCCCTCTTTTAGGGGTCTTATGACTGAAAGACAAACTAGGGGATGGGAGGGTGGGGTTGAGTTAGCCGAGACAAACTGGGATGATGGGAAAGGCTGCTACATATAAGCTTCTGGGAAATTAGAGGTGTGGTCGAGGTGAGTTGTGGTTCGCTGGTGAGAGGAGAGGGCGGCTGAGGCGTGGTCCTGCTCCTGAATCTCAGTTAATCATATTAACTACATTTATTGGAATGTCCCAAAATTAGACACTTTAAAATTATTCTGCTACACTCTATGCTGATCTATGAATCTGATGTGAGATGTGTGGCGGTACTAAAATATTGACAGTCAGTCATTTCTAGGGCCACAGTAGATTGCGCTTAATCCAAATAGATTTTAGGATTGTGACTGAATTTTCAGTGAGCCTAATGTTAAACCAGTGGAGAGATTAAGATGCTAAATACTAGACTTCATTACATATATACAATGTTTCTTATCTAAACATGCAACTCTGCACCCATGAACTGTATATATAAATGGACATAGCTAAACCGCTAGCTGCTGCATTCCATATAGGAAGTGGACATGGGCATGCTTTCGGCCCCATCGACTCTGGCTCCAATTGACTACACATTGAAAAATTTTCACCCCTCTCTCTGTAACTGCTGCTGTGAGCCTCGTCATTTTGGTCTTAAAATATTCCTATTAATCCACTCTACATGATCCTGCTGTTTTAATTTCACTATTTTATCTGTAAATAAATTCCTATTCCTAATATGAATCTTGACTCCAAATTCACCCTATAACTGCTAACCTCTATGAGCTTCATTTAACTGAAGCCAAACGCTATGGGTGACGTCACACTTCCCTAGTCTACTTCTTTATACAGTCTATGGTTGTTCCATTGTGCTGTCGTTTACTTTTTAACATTGTTTGGCTAATACATCTCTGGTGAGGTCTGCACTACTGACAGAAACATGGTGACTTTCCATGGTCTGACTTTTAATACTGTGTGAGTTGTGTGGTCCTCTGTGTTTTTTTTTATTTTTTATTTATTTATTTTTTTTACTGATTGGCATTTTTTCTCTTAATTATTTTAGTACTTTTATTGTCTTAATAAGAACTACTGAAGTTAAATAGAGCTTTATTTTATATTCCCATTGTATTGTTTAATATGTATTGTGCAGCACTTTGGAAACAGTTTTGTTTATGAAATGTGCTATATAAAGTGGATTAGATTTAACTCTGCACCTCAAACCCTCAGCTGACGTTTGACCTCTGTTTTTCCATGTTCAGGTTTTTGTGGCAAACCCGAACAAGACCCAGCCCGTAATGGACATCCTGCTGAAGAACCAGGCCAAACTGGTGGAGTTCCTAAGTCACTTCCAGACGGATCGCTCCGAGGACGAGCAGTTCTGTGACGAGAAGAACTACCTGATCAAACAGATCCAGTACCTGAAGAAAGCCCCCACCCCAGAGGATACCCCAGGATCTTAGTGCCCTTTGGGTCATAGTGTCCTCTGGGAAAAACAACGTCAACATGGTATAAAGGACTTCAGAATGTTATCTTGGTTTGAGAAGTTAGGATTAGTAGATATAATTACATAATTATTTTACTTAAATTTTTTGGTATATATTTGTGATCAGTGACTTCATTTCTCTCATTTTAAACGTGTGTGTCTGCCAGAGGGATGGAATTTGAAATAAGAACAAAGAAAAGCCATATCATATATCGCAAAATTTTCCAATATCATGCAGCCCTAATTCAGATTTCTCCACTTCTTTATACAGTCTATAAAAGAAACCTATTTACAGCTGATTGGGTCAAAACATTATTCACTTTAACCAAACCAAGATTATTCTTAAGTCCTTTTATCTCATGTAGATTTTCTGTTTTTGCTACCAGGTTTTAGAGTGGTGGTTTTCGCTGCGTACAGAGTTTAAAAGACACGCTTTAATATTGTTGTTGTTATTATTATTATTATTGAATATTATATTAACTATAGGAAAAGCCTTACTTCCTTTTGCTTGTGTTTTAGCTTGGATGTGGAGGTTAATTTCCATCCGGCAACTTGAGTGGGCCAAGAACTCTTTAATTTCAAAGCATTCTTAAACCGTAGAATATTTAAAAAATACCTTTGTCCAGTTAAAGGTGCACTATATTATTTCTAAGGTGGAGGTGGACTTTCTTGTCTCCATGGAGATGTTATTTATTTGCCTGGAATGTACCACACTATGTCATTAAACATCCCTCTTGCGTTTGTTCAAATACAGGTGTTTTATAGCACAAAAGTACCTTGAACTCGTACCACGTACAGGCTCACTTCTTCACAGATCTGACCATTAACCTGTCTCCATTGTGATTACCACGTTTATATCCATACTGAGCAATAATCAAGGCAAAACGGTAATATCTCCATGGAGACAAGCAGGTGATGGATCCTCCACCAGAAAAGTTGCGCAGTGCACCTTTAATATGGGGCATCAAACTGTTACTTTCTCATTCACAGCCAATATAATGATGTTCTTAAAGGCCTGATTCTGCTATGTTTTAAAATTTAGCGGTGATAGAACAGATGTTATTTTTCTAATGTATCTATTTGGTAAACTGTTGAAAAGGTGTAGTTTCTTTCCGCACATTGCTTATAGTGTAACATAAGTATATAGACTAGGTTTGGTGTATTTTGCCTTTTTTTGATAGTTCTCTTTGTTGTACAGGGACATTGTTGATCTATACAGACGAGATGAGCGCAGAGTCAGAGGGTCAGCAGCACAAGGCAATAAGAAAGATCATTTTGTTTCTATGTTTTATTTTTATTTTATTATTATGATTTTTAAGGTGTACAGTTGAGTTTGGTATGGCAAATTCACATCACAAATTCATCAATAGAAAGTACCCACGAGTTTCAGAATGACTTAAAAATTAGCACCGTTACCATAGTTTTTAACAAAACCAAAAAATGTATTCTATATTTTGAAAAGTGCTCAAAATGGCGTCCATAAACAAGAGGCTCAACCCAATGAAAACAATTTCTTATTTATAGCATCCATTTTTCCTTCATGTTTTCCTTTTAACTTCAGTTTTACCATATTGAAACATTCACATACTCAGTTATTAGCTAGTGATTTTTATGCCAGATGCTCTTCCATCTGCAACACTACGAGACCAGCTTGTGATTTCTTCTTGTGGTTATTTTCTCAATGTTAGCATTTTTGACTGTTTTGTGAATCTTTTGACCATGTAAACTCTTGGGCTGAACAATTTGGAGCAAATATGTCATTTAAATTTCTTTCTGACAAGTAATGACATTGCAATTAGATAAGATTTATTTTCTGTTCAGTTCACATGCATGTTTTACACACATCTGGAAACACTCAGACTAAAATATGAACTATGAAATATGAACCAAATAATACAGGAATCCCATGCATTTCAGAACATGTTTGTAGAAGTCTGAACTACAGGCTTAGCAGGTTTTATAGTATATGATCACACCGCATTGTCCAAATTAATATTAAGTTTAGGGATGCACCTATACAGCTTTTTCTGTTCCGATACCTGTGATACTTTGGCTTTAAATATTTGCTGATTATTATCCGGTGCACTAGAAAAAAAAAATCCAAATTTGTTTTGTAATTGTTATTTATTATTTAAAGTAACTACAAATTTGGCTTTGAAAAACACAAGCTTAATATTATGAGACATTTTGGGTCATTTTAGACCAACATGGAATATTGACTGAACCGATATCTTGGAACCGATAACCAATCCATGAAATTTTTCAGTATTGTCGATATTAGTGGAGTTTGCGGGGGGCATTGTTTTGCTTGTTCAAACCATTCCAATTGCAAAGTATACCTCTCATGTACTTTTGCCATACTAAATTGAACCGTACCATAGGATTTGGTTCAAACAGTTGGTTGTTTTTAGCCGATAGTTTACAGAGCATGTTTTTGAGGTCAAATATCTCCCCACTGTGCTGTCCTCACTGGTCCATTAGCGGAAACAGGAGGCGAAAATCAAAACCAGGGACGAATCAATGTTTTGTGGAGGGGTATTTTATTTTGGTGAGGCATACAGGGTCGAAATAGAAACTAACAACGCATAGAGCTTGAGGTATCGTCCATGGCAACAAGAAAAAGACCACAATGACTGACTTTAGTATGTAGTTATTGATTTGACTAGCTGGGTAAAATGTCTTAAAGGTGCATTGTGCAACTTTTCTGGACTAGGGGCCATCACCTGCTTGTCTCCATGGAGATGTTATTGCTTTACCTGGTATGTTCCATGGCATGACATTAAACATATCTATCTAGCATTTATTCATTGTGGGTGTTCCTATTGCTCAAAATTACAATAATTCTCTCTGTGAATAAGGGTGCCTCTCCACAGATGTGACCTGTAAAGTAGCCTATAGTTGTCTCCCTTGAGATAGATAGATTTAATCTCTACTGTGCAGCGTTCTTGCCAATGCAACATCTCAACAAAGACAAGCAGGTGACGGACTCTCCACCAGAAAAGTTGCACAACGTACCTTTAATTGTGAAAAATGCTGGGTTTATATAAATCGCTCATAAATTTAAAATTTAAGACAAAGTATCCTAACTGGAAATAACCAAACAACATAGCCCTTTACCAAGGCATCACGTAGTTATTAATGCCTTTAAGTGGAACTAAATAGCCATGTTACATAGTGGAACTAAAGTGCACTATGTAACTTTTCTGTGACCTGCTTGTCTCCATGGAGATGTTCTTGCTCTGTCTGGAATGTTCCACAGTATTGCATTCCATGGAGACAAGCAGCTGATGCCACCACCAGTTGCAAATTAGATCCGCGGAGTGGCAGTACCTCTCACAGTAAAAACACATATTTTTTAAAAGTATTTTCTGCAATAAGAACACCTGTGATTTATTAAATACAAGAGAGATATGTTTAATGCCACACTGTAAGTTACATAGTGCATCTTTAAATGAGAGGAAACAAACTAGAATGTGACCCAGGACTAAACTAATCTAGGTACAAGGACTGGGGCAAAAGCTAAATCAATAATGGTGTTTGTTCAATAATAACAAATCCAAAATGGTTTCTTAAATTACTATAAAAGTGTATGTTACATAGAAGTAGTTTGCATGTCATAGTTAATGTGTTGGCTGCTTTTAGTCTATTTTCTTTATGAATACTGCCCCAACTCTAAACGTGAACAAGCACTTCATTGCAGCCAAATAGTGGGGGAATCATCTTTGTAACATAGACTTGAGTAATAATCTAAGAACAATTTCAAGTGTTTTCTGTTTAATATCCCACATATTTGTTTAGTTTCTTGAATTTTGCTCCAGTCAAACCTCAGAAATTTAAACAAAGTTGGTAGCTATTTTTAATATAATGATTAATATGATGAGCTGTATTAATTACTTAAATTTGAGAATGTTTATTTGACCAGCAACAAGGAATTTTTGTTTGAGAAGAAAGATTTGCTGAATAGATTTGAATGGCGAGAATAGACGGAGAGTGAATGAAATGTAGTCCTTACTAACATTTGCTATAACGTGTATGAGATCATCTTAAAGTGGTATGCCTGACGATTTAGTTTTTTTTCTTTTATTTTACCTTTGGTTGTGCTGAGTACAAATGTTCGCTTACAGAATTGGAATCTCAAACTTTATGCTGTGTAGCTTTAAAAATCTATTTGGATTGTTGCCTTATTTAAGCCTGCTGCTGCTGCCCCTATAATGGCATTTTGGAGATTGGAGCAATGCCTGTGCGCACAGTTCTTTAGAATATACCTCATGGGTTTTGTGTTTGCAAATGCTAATTTTTCGTCTTTACTTTCCTCTTAAATAACTGATCAGGTTTATAACAGTATGATTACGTGCAGCCTGTTTTGGCTTGCGAGATTTTGTTTTTGTTTAGTCCTCAAAGTAAATGTAAGAAAGGTAAGAAGAAGTGATTAGGATCTGAGCGAGTTTGATAAAGTAAGATGGTTCAAAGCATCTCCAAAACTGCAGCTATGATTGAGTGTTTAGACCTGGCTTAGTCCTGAGCTAGACCTGGGCTGGACCTGATTGAGTATAGCTCATGTGCACACCAAAAATCTGATCATTATTATTATTGATTGCAATGCAGAATATTGACATTTCACATAAATAGTTCAGTTTGATTTGTTGCAAGTAATCTCATTTTTTTGGGGATTTTTCACACCTTTTCCACACACGGCTTTGACAAGAAAAATTATGCAAAAAATAGCAACCTAATGTGACAAGATAAAATGAAAGGGAAACTACTAAAGCTAAATTGAAAGACTTATTTTAAAATTAATTTAACTTTTTCTTCCAAATACAACAGTTACGCAAAAAAAGTAACTGATTTCTCTAAGCACACAAAAAATATCTAATAACTGGGATATCTGATTATTGTAGTTATCTGACTTTTCCTGGCCATGTTACCCACTGTCTATTGGAGGTGCTTTAGTCCTGGTTTAGTTCTGAGTTAGACCTAGTTTAGTCCTGGTTTAGTCCTGGTTTAGTGCAGGTCTTTTGGGGTGTTCTAGTCTGATGTAGCGATCAAAGAAAGGATACAGTGATAGGTGATTTAAGTATGGAAAGAAGGCTGGCCCAGAATATACAGTGTGCTTAAATCATATTGTTAAACCTGATTAGTGTATTTATTAGAATTTTAAATACACATTGATTTGTATGCATGCCTAAACTTGACATATATATTTGTTCAAACTTGAACAGGGACTGCGACCTGGTTTTCCCGATGGAAAGCCAGTTTTTAACCCTTAAAAGCTCTATCGTGTGGTGCCATTTCAAATGCTAATTCATATGGACTTGCAGCACGGTGCCTTACGATGGAGGACATGCCTTATTTAAATACATTTGGTAGATTGTAAAGATCATTTCAAATTGCAGACTTCTTGATTAGTTTTTTAACCAAAGTTAATACAAGAAATTGGTGAAAAAAATTTATTCCAAGTGCTTTAATGTACCTTTTCGTACAATATTTCGGACTGACGAGGGATAAACTCAAATGTGTTTTCTTATTCATGATGGAGTGACTGATATTATTTTAATTTTTACACATTTTAGTCAATGTGACAGACAGCAACACATTTCATTCAATATATACCAATACATAATTAGTTAAAAGGCCCATATTACTCTATTTTCTGATCAATGTTTTAATGTTGCTTCCTCGTCACAAACAGACCTGGAGTTGTGTTTTGTTTCATTCACGCATGTTTACCAAAATCTGCAGATTTAAGATGTGTTCTTCTCTCAATTAGGAAACACTACAGGCAGAGCTCCACTGTGTTTTTCAACTCAATACCCCTTCACCAGAATCATTTCCAATCAAAGGTAGCTGTTTACCTGAAAACTACCGCCTCATGACATCACAAGGTGGAGCAGAGCATTTTGATCTTTGGGGATGTAGACAGACAAATAATAAAGGAGTACTCAAACATGTCTGAATGAAACAAAGCGGAACTCTGAGTATGTTTTTGTGGAGATAACATTACAACATGGCTAAAACCTCACAAAAGTGTAATATAGGACCTGTGAAAAAGCCATAACATTATATTTAGGGCTACATATTTTTCACTGGAACCCTGGTCAGTCAACATTTACGCTCACAAAATGTATGTTCAAGTTATACAAATAATCTAAAATATTGCTTGGTTTTGTTGTTAAACTGTTTAACAAAAAGGTTAATATATTTTTAAAATCCGTGAAATTATTAACAGTGCTGTGAATGCGGTACAATATAGGAGCCAGTAGTCCTGCAAAGCCTCTGCTAACAGTCTGTGGACTTTTCCTCAAGAAGCCACATTTTTAAAGTTCTCTATTTTTGCATATTTTGGTTTAATTGTCAACTACTCCAGCTATGGAAGAGTTGCAATGCACCCAAACACCTACCAGAGGGCGCTGCTGACACTACTGGCTCCTGGTTACCAGTACAAAAAGCATTTCATGTCTAAACCCTACCTCTAACTCATGATCACTGGTTAACATTTTAAAATTTTACATTTACATAGCCGTGTTTCCATTTTATTCCTGTTGCCTTTGTTTTTTTTCTTCCTTTTTTTCCAAATTTTATGGATGTTTTCTTTTTATTTACTGGGAGCAAATCTATGTACATAACTTTATAAATATTAAAGTGTGAGCCTTCATAAGAATAAAACTTTACGCAAATGTCTTAATTTTGTGGTGATGTGTGTTTTTTAGGTAAAGTTTTTTTTATTTTTTTTATCTGTACTTGTTTAACATTAAGTCAAAAGAATTACTATATATTAATAAGTTGGTACGATGGCGTTGAACCATGATAGAGAAGCAACTGTCTGGGATAGTAGTTGTTTCCATAGCATAAGAAAGTTCTCACCCAAGAGCAAAGCTTATCGTATAAACTTGTCTGTACCTTCCATCTGATCTGAACTGCCTTTTAAAACACGTAGGTAATAATGATGTAGTCTCATTACTTTCACATGGATTACAATATTTAGTATGGTATAAAAAGTGTTAAACGTGCATTGTGTAACTTTTCTGGTCAAGGATTTGCCAAATGGTTTTCTCCATGTAGATGTTATTGCTTTGTCTGGAATGTTTCACAGTACAGCATTAAACTTTTTTATCTTCATGGAGACCAAACTAGACCAAGTTACAGGTCAGATCTGTGGAGGTGCAACTCCGATCAGAATGTTGTTTTTTTCTTAGTATTTTTGAGCTATACAACCACAACAAGCGCAGTCAGAGACAGCAACCTGGTCCCCCATGAGGCATCGGTGGGGTCAGTTCATCACCACAGAAGCAGTTTATGAGGAGCCCAGACCATATTACATGATCGTTATATCCACAATGTAATATGTGTATCTGTACAGGCCCATGAACATTTGTGTGATATTGGTCACACATGAGAATATCTGTGTTTACTTTTTCTTAGATTTTGAGACCACTCCTGTTGCTCGAGCTCGATCCTTTGCCTAGTTATGACCAAAAACGCATATTTGACCTTGGTTACCTTGACCTTCAAGTGACCTTGACCAGTTTCAACCTGTAACATCCAGTGTACCCCGGTTATGTGTGTGCCAACTTGTGTGATGATTAGGTGAATATTTTAGCCCAAAGATTCAGAAATTGCAGAAATTGCCAATCCTTTATAATGGCGTGACCTTTCAATTGACCTGTGTGACCTCAAATGACCTTGGATCATCACCAAACTTTTTTGCGGCATCAGGCACAGGTGCTTGACCCATGTACCAAATTTGGTGACAATCGGTCCATAAATGGCGGAATTATCGTGGGTGGACACACACACACAGACACAGGGTGAATACAAAACCTGGTCAACCCTTTGGGGACCAGGTTATGAAGGTAGAGCTGTTTGTCATACTGTGGAACTTTCCAGGCAGGACAATAACATGCCCTCAGAAACAAGCAGGTGATGGACCCCCAACCATTCCATTTTCTTCCGCTTATCCGGGGCCGGGTCGCGGAGGCAGCAGTCTAAGCAGGGACTCCCAGACTTCCCTTTCCACGCACACTTCCTCCAGCTCTTCTGGGGGAACCCCGAGGCGTTCCCAGGCCAGCTGAGAAACATAGTCCCTCCAGCGTGTCCTGGGTCTTCCCCGGGGCCTCCTCCCAGTGGGACATGCCCAGAACACCTCCCGAGGGAGGTGTCCAGGAGGCATCCGGAACAGATGCCCGAGCCACCTCAACTGGCTCCTCTCGACGTGAAGGAGCAGAGGCTCTACTCCGAGCTCCTCCCGTGTGACTGAGCTCCTCACCCTATCTCTAAGGGAGCGCCCAGCCACCCTGCAGAGGAAACTCATTTCGGCCGCTTGTATCCGCAATCTCATCCTTTCGGTCATTACCCAGAGCTCATGACCATAGGTGAGGGTGGGAACGAAGACTGACCGGTAAATCGAGAGCTTTGCCTTTCGGCTCAGCTCCTCTTCACCACAACGGTCCGATACAGCGACCGCATCACTGCCGAAGCTGCACCGATCCGCCTGTCAATCTCACGCTCCATCCTCCCCTCACTCGTGAACAAGACCCCGAGATACTTGAACTCCTCCACTTGAGCCAGGGACTCTCCACCCACCTGGAGAGGGCAAGCCACCTTTTTCCGGTCGAGAACCATGGCCTCGGACATTGCAGGTCCTGGTTCGATGAAGCCAACATTATCGTGGGTGGACACACACACAGACATACACACACAGAGGGTGAATACAAAAACTGGTCAACCCTTTGGGGACCAGGTTATGAAGGTAGAGCTGTTTAATGTCATACTGTGGAACTTTCCAGGCAGGACAATAACATGCCCTCAGAAACAAGCAGGTGATGGACCCCCAACCAAAAAGTTAAATAGTGCACCTTTAAATAAAAGTGCAGGCCTTGAATAAGCATTAAGTTGAGAGTACCTCATATTGGAACATTTTGATGCTAAAATAATCATGACGAGAAATTCTGAAACTGATTTTGAAAAATGTGAAAACTGAGATGAATCAAAATATGTTTAGTGCTATTCTTGGAGCAAAATTCACAAACTAGGAGCTTGCTCTGACATTATGGTGCAACACAAAAAACGAACAATAACAGGCCTAGGAAATATAAAGTGTGATCAAATAAAAATAAGTGCATACATTACAAAATAAAGTAAACAAAAAATAGACCAGTTTGAATATCTTGACAGGATTAGACGGAGTTGTGCGAGTTGTAGTTCGTGTGTTTGTTTTTTGTCCATTTTTTTGGTTTTGTTATGTGTAATTTTAAAACTGGAACAAAAAATAGACTTTGATTTAGAAGTATAGGCCTGTTGACAACACAATGTCCTTGGTCAAATTATAGGGTGCCACAAACGTGTAGAAAGCCACTGCTTCAAAGGGACAATAAAGCAATAAAATCATTAATATTTTGATATGGGTTTAAATTCGTATCAGCACACAGTAGCGATTCAAAGTGCACTACCACCCAAACACCTGTATTAATAGACTAGTGTCCATAGATGTCTACGCGGGCCTCTATAATCAATCAAGTACAAATCTGAAACGTTATTGTGCGGTTTAGGATTATTCTAGACCTGCGAGGCTGCACATGTGACCAAGAGGGACTTCAAGCCACTGAAATCAAACGCGTAGCCGCCAATGTCTTTTCTTTACGTCCACCAATCACAGCCTATATGCTCCGTGAAAATGCACCATGGGAAACTAGGCCAAAGTTCACTCGGGGAAGAAGGCATGTAAGGCTACGGGCGCTACTCCAATTCCCACAACGACACCGCGCATTGATAGAGATGGGAAGAGGTGATTTTTATACTACGAAAAATTCTCTAAAATCGTAATGATGTGAGGTGTGTTGTGTAAAAATGTGTAGGGGTTGTAGTTTGTACGTTACGCGCGTTTTGTTTTGGGTAAGGCGATCAGGGCGGGAGCGAAGAGGCAAAGTGGGGGCAGGGTCTATACATAGGTTATAGGTCAAGATACAAGCCTGAAGCTCGTTGTTCAAATGAGGGAAGCTTTATTTGCAACCAACACTGCACTGGGATTGCGTTTTGGGCCGACTCTTTGCACACAAACCCCGTGCGGAATTGTTTGCGTGAGTGCAGAAATGCCCACGGATCGATTTGATGGACGCATTTAGGCCTTGGACAACAAGATATCTACGGCCGAGCTTCTTCCGCCGCCGCTGCCACCGCCTTCCCCAACCCCCACAAAGAGAAAATCAACAAAAAAGATGCTCTCTCAATTTCATGCGTGACAAAACTTTTTGTCGTTGCAAAAGCGTGGCCAAGACTGCAGCACCGGACAGGACATCTGCAGATAAGCCGGTAAGGAGCGAAATACAACTTGTTTACATATTTATTTACATTGAATTAATGGACTTCTACGGTCTAAATGTTAACTGTTCTGCACGTTCGAGTGCGTTTTAGCCGTATATCGAATCCTCATTACGTGGTCCATTGAAAATACGGTTGTTTTCTTTGTTTCTTCGCTAATTAATAATTAAACGGGGCTGGTTGTTGGCGTTAATCTTTGTACAAAGTCTCTGTGCCTCCACAACTTTACCATTGTGTCGCTGTGCTCCGTCCATTGTTGCCTGTAACTCTAAAAGTGATCGCTTCATTCCGAGAGTTAATCCTTTAATTGGACGTAAAAATTGATTGAGCGGGTGTTTCCAGCGTGATCTTGTTGTTGCGTCGTGACGCAGATGCGAAATCAAACGCTTTTTTTAATTGACTCTGTGCGTCATCCACGCAGTTTGGCGCCACTTTAGCTCAGAGCCATCCGCTGGCGCAAACCTAACGAGGAACTGGGAAATTCAGAATTCTTTTAATTATGCTCCAAAATATGACTTGTTAATGTTTGAGGGCATTGGAAACTTTTTTTTATATATATATATTTTTATTTAAACTTGAAATTAAGGCTACCTTATGAATTGCAACTTGCAACAAGTGATTTGGAACTGTTCAGGCCAATCATTTTATTTTTTATTTATCTTTTTAAATTATTATTATTTACTTTTTAAACAAATTTGAAGAAAACTTGAAGAAATTATATAGAAAACTGCTGCACAAGTCAAAATACTCCTTGATCAATTCAGAATATACTGCTCAAATATGAACAACCTGTTTTTTTTTTTTTTCGTTTTTTTTTCTTTTTTTCTAAGAGTCTAGGATAAGTTGATTCAGACAAGTTTGTTCAAAGTTAAAACCCCATCCCAATGTGTTGCATTTGTTTCCACACACCTAATCAACATAATCACCAACAAGATGCACAGATATTGGCAAAATGAGTAGCCTATAGTCCTATACGAAAACTATGTTCAAAACTACATGCTCATTTGAACAGACCAACGCAAACAAAAACGTAAAATAAAATGAATCTGAAGGCTCCCTGTTTAGGACTAATAATTTGACCTTTTTGTTTTAAGATTTGTTTTTTAATTTAGGAGAGTTTGTATATTTGTTTGTCATTATAGCCCACACATGTTATAGTAGTTAATTGCTTGTCTCTTTTCAGATGCTGCATAAAGAAAAGCCCCTTCCCCCAGTTTGGTTAAATCTGTTGTAGTGGTTCTCCAATTAAGGTGCATCTAGTGTAGTTAGTGAAGTTAACATCTACTGCCCTGGGTGCTCCTTTTGGCTGGAGGACTGAGACCAACCCTAAGACTAACCCAAACTCTGGATCACAACCCTGAGACTAACTCTAATCCAAACTCTGGATCAAAATCACCAGTGAAAATGAACTGTTTTAACTTGCTGCAAGTCCTTGAATGTTTTTATTTCAATGGTGCTTTACAAATTCACTTCAAACCAGGTAAATGTGCTCCCACTGTACCAGATTTGTTTTTATTAAAGAGATTTTAGTTGCATTCATTGGTGCTATAATTCGAGACTTTTGAGGCTTTCTCTTAACCTATAGACTAGCTTTGAAAATGTCTCTTGGTATTGTTTTTTTAAGGTGCACTATCTATCTATACAGGTTTTGGTCTTAGACACCCATTTGCAAACAATTTTATTAAAATTTGTGTATCTTAGAAATGTTGCCAAGGCCATAACATTTCCCTTGTGGATCAATAAAGTTTGTCCAAGTCTAAAATGGTACCCCCATTACTTAAAATCTTTGCACAATTTCTTGTTTCAAATTCTGCATAGTACATTTGATATTCCACAAATTGTTTACTTGTTTCTTGCAAGAATCTTGTTTCTTAGTGCCTTAATCAGTGTGGTAATGCGTTTTCATGGCTAACCTTTCACATATTTCAGCTGTTGTTGTATGCGTCACCTTTTTAAGCAGATAAAATTTATGCAGTTACTTTTATATATCGTTTGAAAATTACATATTCAATCAGTTTTCCCTCCTTGTTGCTTCCTTTTTTGTTTTTGTTTGTAAAGCGTCTGAGTGTCCAAAAAAGCATTAAGTATTTATTTTAATCATGTATTGTAATTTATGTTTGCGTTTTTATTCCTGATTTCTGGACTCTGCAGTGTCAAAGTGCTCACAGTGCAGGTAGTACGTTTTTCATCTACTGCATTTTGCGCACTTCAGGTTTTGCAAGTCGTTTTTTCACCTGATCCTTTCCCTCTTCAAACTTAACCTGGTTTTGGCTCAGAGCTTTGCTGGTTTGCTCTCAGCTTGTATTGTGTGCTGTGCAAATCCATGCAAAGCTCTCAGATAACCAGATCTATCCGCAAAATCACCTTGAAGAGTTTTATTATCTTTTTTTTTTTTTTTTTTCTCCATTAACATCTGTTGTGTTCAATGCACCTTTTACTTTATACATTTTTTTTGTCTTGCTGTTTTCGGGTGGATGATTTCGCAATTTCAATACTTGAGTGAATGAAAGAAATTGCACAGTATCCATCCCCAAGCCGCCAGATGTTGAGAACCGCTAAAAACGGCTGGACTGTGTAAGAAAAACACTAACGCGCCTCATTGTCTCCCCTAGTGCCTGTGCCGTGTTACGAACCGACGCTAGATGGCGCCATTTGACTTGGTATGAACGTCCATTTTGTGTCCCCCAATTCTAAAATATTGTGTTTTTTAACTGTCCTTTGTGTGCAATAAAGTAAAAAGTGTAATACGTGGTTTATTCTCGTTCATATTTGGGGTTTTTAATCTTTTCTCTAGTTCACTATTATATCGCTATTTTACTTTACTACTTTACTTTTTTGAATTTACTACCAATTATTTTATTCTTGTTTTTTGATCAAGTGATGTGTGAATTACTGTGTCCAAATTTCCCTTGTGGATCTATAATTTAGGCCTGTTCCAGTAGTCAGTCACACCCATACGTTTTTGAGTTAGTTTTGGTAAAAAGCTGTGCGTAAAAAGATCCTGGAGTCAATATTTTTTAACCTGTATCTAAAAATGGTTGCCTAGTTTTAGTCGTTTTCTGACCACGGGATTTGGCATTTAGACTTGGACAAACTTTGAATCCACAAGGGAAATTATTTGGACAAAGATGCTCCCATATCACGTAATACAACAAAGCAACAATATACATGGTAAGAAATTCCAAGTAAGTATCAAAAATGGCAAGAGACTGGTGTCAAATAAGGCATATTTATATAAAAAGAACTATATGTACAAGTAAAAATGTAATACAAACTAGATAGATACAGTAGCTCCTGGAAACGACGCTTTAAACGATTTTCAATTTTGATTTCTAGAAGAGTTGGACTTGAGGCTATTAACCTATCCACAAAAAAAGGTTACGCAGCTGTTTGGCGACTGGTAAAGCAATCCACAATAGTCCACATAATCTATAGCCCTACAATAAACTCTATAGGCCCTCTACACTTTGCACAATCAGCACGTTTCTCTGTATTTGTTGCTTTAAGCCCCACTGTTGCCGCGTCCTAATTGCTTCCCGTAGTGCCATTTATCTACCTCTCCACCACCGGCGCTCACATAAATCCTGCGCTCTCCTCAGCACCGCAGCCACGTAGGACCACTGGATCTGACGCTAAACAGGGGGATATCTCTCAACCCGACACGCGCAGGTTCACGCTGTTTTACGTTTGATGTCGTGAGAGCGCACACGAACTCAGCCCTCCGCGCGTCTCCAGCTGCTCTTTCAACGAGCTGTCTGAGGAGAGGAGAGGAGAAAAGAGAGAGGGTCCTTTCTAATAAGTTGACTTGGATCGTTTTTTTTACGGATAGAAAGCGCGTTTACAGACCAAACATACTGACCTAACGAGGATTCTGATACCGCTCTCTTTACGCGTGGATCCCGTTGAACTTCACAGCGTCGCGAGTCCGCATTTTCGTGCAGTTTTGACTACTTTCCGGACGTTTTTGCGCCTTTCTCCACGCCGTAGAGATGATTTGGGTGCTTTTGTGCGCTCTGCTCCTGTCTCTTCCCCTCGCGAGCGGAGGACACGTGCCAAACTGCCAAGAGGTGCGAGCCGTGTTTCACACTTTCCACCCCGGCTCCAAGTGGGTCCCTGAGAACCCCGTGTCAGGTAAATACGCATGGAAACGAAACTTTAAACATACTTAACCCGTATTTTAACATTCTTTCATCCTTATCAATGTTTCAAGTCTTTAAATCACAACTATTTTTGCCTAGAATTACCCCAAAATTATCTTTTCAAGTCAATTAAAATTATTTTTCGACGACTTTAACCCTGTTTTCAGAGCATGTGTGCCGCGTAAAAACTTGATTGCCACCGTAATTTAACAAACAGGACTCAAAATTAAGCTTCTAGCAACAATATTATCCCCAAATTGCCATTATAACCTACTCAAAGTTGTGCAAATCTCTTAAAAAAAACAATTAATGGCAGCATTTTGATTTTATTATTCTTCGTAAACTTTGTAAATTACTCCAGCTCTTGTGAAAACGTGAAAATGTGTCATAACATTTCTATAGCGTAGCAAACTGGTCCATAGGTTTGGGAATTTCCTTTAGTGACATCAGTTTTCTTTATCAGTTGGGACAGATTTAGCAGTCTGGTTTAGTCCGGGTTTGAGCTCAGTGTCTAGTCCTCTTAAAGACTTAATTTGCTTTGAGTCTTGGTTAAGTCCCAGTCTATATAGTCCAGGTTTAGACAGTGTTTTTATTGTGAAGAGAATTGGGAAAGGGGTTAAATAAGACTTCTGGTTTATTCTATCTACTTTTTAGACTAAACAAATTAAATGGTCTAATAAAGTTTCAGGTTTGAACCCAGTTAAATCCCAATTGCCCTGTGATGTTTGAGCAAGTGAACGCATCCTCATATTGGCAAGTCCGTATCCTTTGTCTTGATTAGTTCCCACTCCCTTTGGTCCTTTCTGGTTCAGGCTCCGGCTCTATCAATAGCAGTGTTGCCTTATTTTTTTACCACTTTCTCATTTAGGTACATTCCCAATAGCTTCCTAAATGACATTAAATAATACAGTTTCAGGCGTGATTCTAGTTAAGTGACCATTTTTTTGTCTATATCTGTCTGTTTATCTCCTTTGTCTTGATTTGGTCCCTGTCCCATGTTGGTTTAGACTCCACTTTATCCTCCAGTCTTCTCCCTTTTGTCTACTTTGTCTCTAATACCTACTGAAGGGCACTAAAAAAATAACGGTTCAAGCTTGGTTCCGCTTTTTGTTTACGTATATTGGCCTATCTATCTCCTTTCTCTTGATTTGGTCCCTTTCCCCTGTTGGTTTAGACTCTAGCTCTACCCTCCAGGCTCAGTATATTAGCAGCAGCAGTAGCAGTAGCAGTAGCAGTAGCAGTATTCACAGTAATGTTTTTCAGAGTCTGTGTCACTGACCTCTGGGTTCTCTCTGCCCACTCTCCTCTCATCCCTCTGGCTCCACATTTATCATCTCCCACCAAATACAACCCACTAACGCTAAGGCCAACACAGAAAAGAGGGAGAAAATGTGCTCAAATTAAATGTAATCTGCTCTTAATGCACTTCCAGAGGGATAAAGCGGCAAAATGGACTCAAAAACTGTGTTGATGACAAAATATGATCAAGGTTTGGCTAATGTTATGCATGCTTGAATATGAAGTCGTCATAGCAACGTTTACAATAGTGTTGTCAAAACTAGTATTGAAACTAGACACTCATTTGAGCAGGTATTGATACAAAAAGGGTGACATTAGCTGAGCTGTATCAGAACAAGTATAAGAGCACATAGACTCGTACATGCTCATGGACCACTGAGGATTACACAGATACAATAAAACGCTTCATGGGAATAGAAAAGAAAGTACTACTATTTAATGTTTAATGTTTTTTTTTTCTTTTCTATTAACATCACAGTATTGTAATCTGTATTAACTATTGACTCTGTGTTTAAAATTTTAGTATGATCACAACATTTACAATACAGAAATGACCAGTATTGTCATTAATCACAACTTCCTTCATATACTGCAAGCAGTGTTGGGGAGTAACAGATTACATGTACAGGAGTTACGTAATCAGAGTACAGATTATGAGTAACTGTATTCAGTTACAGTTAAATTTTCAGCGAGTGGTAATTGGATTACAGTTACTTTGTTGAAATAAATTGATTACACGGCAATATTTTCCTGTTTTCACATTTCAAGTTATATTCCTTTTTCTTTCTTTTTTTTTCTCGGTAATTCCATTCATTGCAGGACACTAAACCAGATCTAAACCAGGTCTAAACTAGGTCTAAACCAGGTCTAAACCAGGTCTAAACCAGGTCTAAAACCAGGTCTAAACTAGGTCTAAACTAGGTCTAAACCAAGACTAAACCAGGACTAAAACCAGGACTAAAACCAGGACTAAAAACAGGTCTAAAACCAGGTCTAAACCAGGTCTAAACCAGGTCTATACCAGGTCTATACCAGGACTAAAACCAGGTCTATACCTAAAACCAGGTCTAAAACCAGGTCTAAAACCAGGTCTAAACCAGGTCTAAAACAGAATTTAACAGGACTAAATCATACTGCATGGACTGTGTGTCCTCTTCTTCTATCAATAATATTTTAAATACGGTGAAGTAAAGTCTGGGCTTTTTTATTTTCTTTTAGCAGACAAAATATCTTATGTGAAGATTTCCTGGTCTTTGCTTCTCTACAGCAAGTCGAGTAATCCAAAGTATTTAGATTACGTTACTCACTTTAAGTAATTTAATGGATTACATTACAATCTACATTTTGGGGTCTGTAATCTGTAATCTGTAGGGGAATACATTTTAAAAGTCACCTTCCCAACACTGACTGCAAGTAATATCTTAATTTGTAAGTAATTCTTAACACGGGGAACACAAAAATGATAAAAATGGCCATATGGAAACTAAACCATAATGTTTTCAAAATGTAGTTTGTTTGCCACATTATTAAAGGCTGGTTAGGAATAATGATGTGATTCATTTGTGGAGGCAACGATCTCTTGTTTTGAACTGTGGGTCCAGCAAATCTTCAGTACAACCAGGAAGGGCTGTAACAGAAAAAATGGAAACCAGTGTATGTGCTACTAACTGATAATGATTTTATTTATATAGCACATTTCATATAGTGAACATACCCTGAATCATACCTGATTTAGTCGACCTTTATACTCTGAAAATCATGTTCAAAGTAAACAACAATCTCCTGTCAAAATCTTTACAGAACATGTTCAAAATCCAAAAGAGCCAATATGAGCTCAGAAAAAGAAAATTAGAACAAACATTATGAAATTTTGTATATCTGTTAAAGGGGTGGAGCTGTGGAACAACTGTACAGAAAACCTAAAATTGTGTACCAGTCTCTTTCACTTTATAAAGAAGTTTAAATGTTTAACTCTGGACAAATACATGAAATATGATACTTAGTTTGTGCTGTAGTACTTTGATGTACTGTTTCTGATTTGTTTGTTTCTTCTTGCTGTATTTATGAAGATGAACTGGGGTCAAGATGACGCTCTGACAAAGGAATAAAGGGTAAAAGCATAATAAACTGAAGCTTCAGCCTACACCTTTTTGGTCTGTGTATGTTAAATATGACTGTCTGTGAATTAATGTCAAAGTATACCTGTGACCGAAATAAATAATCAATCACCCCACTCACAGAATGCCTGATTTTCTAGATATTTTTGAGTTCTAAAACCACCTGTAATTGAATAAATGTAGGCAGAGCTGTGTAATGGTACACTGTGGAACATATCAGGCAGAGCAATGACAGAACCCAAAAATTACATAGTTCACTTTTAATAAATTGTGAACTATATGTTTATTAAGACTGTAAGAACTTATACTTTATTAAGTTTAATTATATTGTAGTTATTATAGTGTTGCTGAAATATGGTAAACATACATAAATAGACTCAATGGGCTAGTGCAAATTACAAAAAAAGTCCTGATACATGGAACAGGAACAAAGAATGAAATCATGCAATTGTAAATATGTAAAAAGTAAAAAAAAAAATCAGATACGAGAGAGTTAAGTTTTCTGTATCAAAGAAAGTGTTTATATATAGTCCTGATTCTCTGGAGGTTCAGTAAATGCAGTTCAATAGTAACAGAATAAATAACATTGAGTGGTGCTAAGAGAAACAGTCTAAATCCAAGTTTAACAGTTGAATAACAAACTGCCACATTGATCTGTATTGATTTAAACAAGAGCTGTGTGGAGACTGACAAAGTATTTTTAAACTGAAGGACCTTTTGTGAGTTAGAAATGTGCACTTTTAGGAATATATACTCAAGTCAGAACTTTACTTTGTTTTATCTGAAATATATTTTAACACAGCAGCCTGACGAGGGAATGGACGATACCCAGTATTAAGGTACACCACAGTATTGAAATGCCATGGTGTCTGTAATCACACCTCATTTATATGGTCTGTGGAGAAAGCAGCTCTCTTCACAGTAGTGCCGTTTGCCCGTTAACATGCTCTCATGTGGTCCTTAAGTCTGCGCTGTATCCCCTGCTCCACCGCACCACAGAGCGCCCATGTGCATACGTAAACATGCATGGACTTAAGAGCTAACTCTCAAGCCTTCACACTGAAAGCATAATAACTCTCATACACACGGAAGGAGTTAAGAGCTATGTTCAGAGCCGATATAGTGTCCGCATATCAGACCTCTGTAGTAAAGAAAGGAGGCGCACTCGCTCTGACTGTGCCAAATGGTTTTCCACTGCATCAACAGGACGCACGGACTATACTCATTCACTCACAGGTGCACACACACGCTGGGTAAACTGCGCTAATTTTATGTGTGTCCTAAATATACAGCATAAGAACAACAGCCAAGGGTCTGTGAAATAGTCTTTTGCGGTGAGAAAATGTGCCCTTCGAGGCAACAATGAAACTGAGTGGGTGCATAAGCCAAAATAAAAAGCACATGGCTTTGTAGAAGAAAGAAGAAAGACGTGTTTGAGAGTGGCACATCACATCGTCCTCCTCTCTGTTTTCTTCTGAGCGTTTTCCTTCCTCAAGCTTTGACTCCCCTGGACAGTAACATTGTCTCTTTTTTAAACCAAACCAAATCAGAAGTGCATTATGCTTCATTATGGTCA